AATAGGCCCATAGGGCCTGTCTGTCTAGGGGTAGCCCGGGCCTGCTATCCGCAATTAGGGTAGCTGTAGGGAATCAAGTTAGTACCGGGCCTGTATTTTCCCGGATTTGCAGATATGTCCCTCAAGAATTTCCCTCACAGGTAGGTCTCTCGGTTAGCCTTCAGCCAAACAAAATTACAAATCTGTCCTACCTATAGTACAGCCTCGACAGAGAGAGGCTACAGGCGACCAGAAAACAGCAAGTCATTGCAGACCTACCCTCCCCCGAAGCGAGGACCTCCGAGCTAGGGGCGTAGGCGTGCAGAGCGCCGAAGGGGTACCCCCTTCTGTGCTGCCTCATATCTGAGGATGACAGACTTGGCTGTCTTTAGGAGTTCCTTGCGAGTAAACCAGCGATCTTCAGTGTGTGGCTGGTATAAGAACTTCACAAGATACTCCTTATCTGGACCTGTCCCTGACTCATCCTCCACAGATTCGACCTCATACCCCTTGCCAGGGATAGGGGGACCGAATTGTGGGGGCCTGTCTGGAAATGGATCAGCTGGCGTAAATGGCAACAACTTAGATGCATGAAAGACAGGGTAGGTTTGTAGATGCAGAGGGACGTCCACATTATAGGACGGTCCAAACGGATCAGCTCCCACTGTATCTAAGGCCTGCCATGGACCCATATATCGTGGCAGCAGCTTAGGCGAAATGTCCTCCTCTCGTGATAGCTCAGAACTGAGTACGCACACCCAATCACCTGTGCGAATCGTAGAAGGATGCCTGTGCTTATTGGCCTGTTGAATCATAGCCTTTTGGGCTTTCAACAGGTTAGCACGGGCACGCTCTATGTCCACACGGTAACGCCTGGTGAACTCTGCAGTTCCAGGTGTCAGCGTAGGGGTAGCCTTGTCGATGATATCATCGAGAGGCTGCCGTGGTTCACGACCCCAGTGTAACCGGTAGGGTGTGAAACCAGTCGAGGAGTGTACAAACGTGCTATACACAAGCTGTGCACGACTCAGATGGAGATCTCAGTCCTGCTGATCTGGACTGATCATAGGACACAGCAATTGGAACAGAATCTGGTTCATCACTTCAGCCTGACCATTGGCTTCAGGATGACGACCAGATGTCATGTCCAACCTCGAATGAAGGTAATCCCTGCAGTAGGATTGCCATTCATTGCTGCAAAAACGTGGATCTCTGTCACTGACAATGGAGGTGGGTGGTCCATGATGTGTAACCCACCTGTCAGCAAACGCCGCCTAGATGGCCGGCACACGAGCCTCAGCTGGTAAGGGGATGAACTCTGCATATTTGGAGAACCGATCCACACATACCATGACCTGACGCATACCTCGTGGTGTCGTCCTACCCAAGTCAGTGAAATCAATAGAAACTGACTGTGCAGGAGCATCAGGGATAGGTAGGGGTTTGAGTAAGCTAAGGGGAGGTCGTCGTACCACCTTGTTCCTTTGGCATAACTCACAGGTTTCCACATAGTGCAACATGTCACTCCTCATCTCCTTCCAGAAGAAGCGCCGCGACAGGGCTGCATAAGATTTGAGGGCACCAAAGTGACCACGAGCGTCATGACACTCTGACATCAGAAGTGTCCTCAGCTTGCGGTCCTGGGGAATGCACAAGCGCTCCTCGCCTCTGCTGCACGTGTACAACAGGCCTGAGACCAGAGAGTATCCTGGTTCAGAGGCAGGATCGTCCTGGAGATTCCTCACAATAGGCCCAAAGGTCTCATCCTGGGGCAGTAACTGGGCAATGGTCTGACGGGTCCTCTCTCCAAACGAGTGAGTAAAGGAGATCAGAAAGAGAGCGTTAGGCCTACGAGAAAGGGCATCTGCGACTCTATTGTAGCAGCCCTTCTTGTGTCTCAGTTCAAAGTCAAACATGTCAATGAACTGGATATAGCGAGCAAGCTTGTCATTCAGCTCTCCCTGGGACTTCATCCACTGAAGGGTGGAGTGATCTGAAAAGATCTTGAAGTGCCTGCCCAGGAGAAAGTGCTTCCAATGCTTGAGCGCTGACACAAGAGCATAGAGTTCCTTCTCATAGGTAGAGTCCTGCAGCTTCTTGGTCTTAATCTTCTTGCTCATATACTCAATAGGCTGCAGACCATTCCCATCATCCTGCTGAAGTACCGCCCCTACACCATACTGGGCATCAGTAGTCAATACAAAAGGCAAAGTAGGGTCAGGTAGCTTTAGGACAGGGGCACGAATCAAGGCCTCCTTGAGACGTGTAAAGGCCTCCTGACATTCTGACGTCCAAAGAAAGGAAGTGTCTTTCTTTGTAAGATCAGTCAGGGGTGCTGCAATCGCAGAGAAGTTCTTGATGAACTTCCTGTAGTAAGATGCAAGCCCCAAGAAAGACCGGACATCACGAATGTTAGCAGGTCGCGGCCAGTCCTGAACTGCAGCAACTTTCGTTGCCTCAGGAGCCAACCCCTCTCCAGAAATCACGTGTCCCAGATAGATTACAGAGGGAACTCCAAAAGAGGACTTCTCCCTGTTGATCTTATACTGGTTAGCACGTAAGGCCTGAAGGACCAGAGCCAGATGCTGCTCATGCTCCTGGACAGAACGACTGAATACCAAGATGTCATCAAGGTAGACAACTACGAACTTGTCAAGGTAAAGCCTCAGTATGCGGTGCATCTCTGTTTGGAAGGTGCCTGACGCATTGCAAAAACCGAATGGCATAACCAGGTACTCGTAAGTCCCATACCTGGTTTTGCAGGCTGTCTTGTGGACATCGCCTTCAGCCATCTCAATCTGGTGGTAGCCAGATTTGAGGTCGATCTTGCTGAAAATAGTGCAGCCCTGCACCATGTCCAACAGGTCATCGATGCGAGGAAGGGGCTCTGTAGACTTCCTCGTGATTTTGTTGAGACCACGATAGTCCACGCACATCCTGAACTCACCATTCCCCTTTGGAACAAAGAGGACTGGTGCCCCAAACTCAGATGTGT